CAAGTCACAAACCGGATACATATTTGTATTGAATGGTGGAGCTGTCAGTTGGTGCAGTTCCAAGCAACGCATCATGGCGGGATCTATGTGTGAAGCAGAATACATAGCTGCTTCGGAACCAGCGCATGAAGGAGTCTGGATGAAGGAGTTCATATCCGATCTGGGTGTAAGACCCAGTGCATAGGGTCCAATGAAAATCTATTGTGACAACAACGGAGCAATTACCTTGGCGAAGGAATCCAGGTTTCACAAGAGAACCAAACACATCAAGAGACGCTTCAACTCCATTTATGAAAAAGGTCAAGGATGGAGACATAGAGATTTGCAAAATACATACGGATCTGAATGTAGCGGACCCATTGACTAAGCCTCTTCCACAAGCAAAACATGATCAGCACCAAGACTCCATGGGTGTTAAATTCATTACAATGTAATCTAGATTATTGACTCTAGTGCAAGTGGGAGACTGAAGGAAATATGCCCTAGAAGCAATAATAAAGTTGTTATTTTATATTTCCTTATTCATGATAAAGGTTTATTATTCATGCTAGAATTGTATTCATTGGAAACTTAAATACATGTGTGAATACATAAACAAATACCGTGTCCTCGTAAGCCTCTACTAGACTAGCTCATTGATCTAGTATGGTTAAGGTTTCCAAACCATAGACATGTGTTTTCATTTGATAATGGTATCACATCATTAGGGGAATGATGTGATGGACAAGACCCATCCGTTAGCTTAGCATATTATCGTTTAGTTTATTGTTATTGCTTTCTCAATGTCAAATACATATTCCTTTGACTATGAGATCATGCAACTCCCGGATATCGAAGGAATACCCTGTGTGCTATCAAACGTCACAACGTACCTGGGTGATCATAAAGATGCTCTACAGCTATCTCCAAATGTGTCTGTTGAGTTGGCATGGATCGAGATTAGGGATTTGTCACTCAGTGTATCAGAGAGGTGTCTCTGGGACCTATCGATAATACACATCATAAGAAGCCTTGCAAGCAAAGTGACTAAGGAGTTAGTTACAAGATGATGTATTACAGAATGAGTAAAGAGACTTGCCGGTAACGAGATTGAACTAGGTCGAAAGATACCGATGGTCGAATCTCGGGCAAGTAACATACCGACAGACAAAGAGAATTACGTATGTTGTCATAAGGTTCGTCCGATAAAGATCTTCGTAGAATATGTAGGAACCAATATGGGCATCCAGGTTCTGCTATTGGTTATTGACTGGAGAGGTGTCTCGGTCATGTCTACATAGTTCTCGAACCCATAGGGTTTGCATGCTTAACGTTCATTGACGATATAGTGTTATATGAGTTATATGATTTGGTGACTGAATGTTGTTCGGAGTCCTGGATGAGATCACGGACACGATTAAGAGCTCCGAAATGGTACGGAGGTAAAGGTTGATATATAGGACGATACTATTTGGACACTAGAAGGGTTTTGGAGTGCACCAGGTAGTCATCGGATCACCGGAAGGGGTTCCAGACACCCCCGGGAGGTCTATTGGCCTAATGGGCCAAGAAGAGGGACACACCAACCCACAAGGGGGCTGGCGCACTCCTCTGCCTCGCTGCCGGCCCTAGGGGAAGGAAAGGGGAGGGTTGGCCCCTCCTACCTTTCCCTCCTCATGAGAGAAAGGAAAAGGGGGGCGCCACCTCCCCCTGCCTTCCTCCTGCACACAAACAAGGAAAGGGGTGCGGCTTGGGGAAGGAGCCCAAGTGGGATTCATCCCCACTTGAGGCTCCTTCTGGCTGCCTCCCCTCTCCCCCCACCTATATATATGTGGAAGGGGCACCACACATAGCCCACGACAATCTCTTAGCCGTGTGCGGTGCCCCTCTCCACAGTTTCATCCCTCGGTCATATTTTCGTAGTGCTTAGGCGAAGCCCTGCGGAGATAGCATCACCACCACCATCACCACATCGTCGTGCTACCGGAACACATCCACTACTTTGCCCGTCTTGCTGGATCAAGAAGGCGAGAACGTCACACAGCTGAACGTGTGCTGAACGCGGAGGTGTCGTACATTCGGTACTCGATCGGTTGGATCACGAAGAAGTTCTACTACATCAACCACATTACTAAATGCTTCCGCTTACAGTCTATGAGTGTACGTAGACACAATCTCCCCTCTCGTTGCTATGCATCTCCATGGATAGATCTTGCGTGTGTGTAGAATTTTTTTTGTTTTCCATGCAACTTTGCCCAACAATTGATATATGGGAAAATAATGTTTGGTCTCCGGAAGGGTTCTGGAATTCACCAGAAGGGGTTTCGGATGTTTCCTGAAATGTTCGGGTACGAGAACACTTTATTTGGGCCAAGGGGTAAAGCCCACGAGGTTTTAGGAAGGTGCAAAAGGAAGTTTTGCAGAGGCCAGGGGCCACATGCCTGGGACCTTGGCGTATAGGGCCAGACGCCGAGGACCCTAGCGTCTGGTCCTAGAGTCCGAGAAGGACTCTTGCCTTGCGAGCCAATCCGACTTTGAGGAGGCTCCAAGAAACGACCCTAGGGCTCAACATATAAATAGAGGGGCAGGGCTAGCACCTGGAACACATCAAGATTCACCAAGCCGTGCGCTGGCAACCCCGCTCCCTCTAGTTCATCCTCCATCATAGTTTCTGTTGTGCTTGGCGAAGCCTTGTGGAGATTGTTCTTCATCACCACCATCACCACGCCATCGTGCTGCCGAAACTCATCTACTATTTCGCCCCTCTTGCTGGATCAAGAAGGAGATGACGTCATCGAGCTGAACGCGAGCTGAACACGGAGGTGCCGAACGTTCGGTACTTGATCGGGACGGATCGTGAAGGTGTATGACTACATCGACCGCGTTGATAATGCTTCCGCTTAGTGATCTTCAAGGGTATGAAGATGCTCTCCCCCTCTCGTAGCTATGCATCTCATAGATAGATCTTGCATGTGCGTTGAATTTTTTTGTTTTCCATGCAACGTTCCCCAACACGATCCTCGACCGACGAGCCACAAGGTCTCAGGTCACACAGCGGCCCGTTTCATCGGCTCACAACTCAATGTTTTCTTATATGATGTTTCTTTCGTTTTGGGCAAGTTGGTGTCTCCCTTCTGTCCGAAAAAGGTATGGGCAACAATGGCGACTCTTGCATTTAGGTCCCCTAGAGTTGTACTTTCAGTTTTTGTGGGTACTTTCTGCAAGGTGTTGTGCATCTGATCTTCTAGTTGCCTCTAGATCGTGACTACGTGTGGGTTCATAATCCAACTGTTAAATGAATGACACATAGTTTATCTTTAAAAAGAACTTCCACTAAAGGCTGAAAAAGAAGTGGAAAATGCCAATGGAGGCCTTGTCTCCAGGGAGCTCGGTATTTTAAAAATTTTGAAAGTCATTTTCAAGGTTTCAAAATTATTTTTTCCATAGAAACATATACGTTTTCCGCACGAACGCATGAAAAATCATTTGATTTTTTTGAGAAATAATCATTTGATTTTTCTGTGTTTTGTTGGCTGTACAAAAAAAGTTCTGGCCCAACAACAACAAAAATCAGCCCATCTTACAAATACGCTTTTGGCTTTTTCTGTATGCCATATGTGAAAGTATATGGTTATGAATTTTCGCACATACGTAATACACATGTGTGTCAGTGTGTGATTGTTCGCAAAAAGAAAATCAAATTTTTTCGCACTGTAGAAGTTTGGTTTTTCAAAACGATCTCCCTGAAGCTCGGCCACCCAAAGCCCGCACCTGAAAAGGAAGCTCCTATCTACCTCTCACTACGGTAGGTAGGTAGTTGATAAAACGTGCAAGCGGATGTGGTAGGCCAACCCTATTCGGCATTTAAATTCGTTACGGGAGTGCTCATTTGGTTTTCTACTTGAATTTTTTTTCCAGTTTGCTCGTATGCCATTTGGTTTCTTTCTTTTGTTCAAAAACTATCAACGTGTTCAAAAAATCAGGAATATGTGGTGGGACCCTAGTTTCCATTTAAAATCTTGAATATTTTTTCATGACACACGAATACTTTTTTGGACAACTATCAACATGTTCAAAAAATATGTGGAGGGTATTCTTTTAATGTGTAAACTATTTTTAAAGAGACGAGAACACTTTTAAAAATGCATGAACATTTTCCTAGAAATGATGACAAATTTCACAAAATATGTGGAGGGTTTTTTAAATGTGTGAACTATTTGACGCGAACATTTTAAAAATGAATTAATAATTTCTAAAAAATTAAATATTTTTAGAGAATCACAAAATTTAAAAAAATCGAATTTTTAAATTTGTAGATTTTTTTCCAGAATTTTGTTGACACAGAACAAACGCAGATGCTCACATACATGAATGCACACTCACTTGTATGAACACGCGTGCACACACACACACACATTCTATCCCTACCCCCAAGATATTGAGCTAATACAATATCTTGAGATTGATAAAGTCACCAAAGACGTCAAATGTCCCTTCCCACTGAACATACATCGCCGAAAAGTCTGAAATAAATATATGAATATGCGAGTAAGTTTAGAACTTGAGTCCTGGTGGGCTGTTTCACCACAAGGAACCTTGCCATCTGAGCTACGCTCAGTTCGCACACTTTTTGAAATTCACATATCTTAAAGAGTGTTCATGTAAAATAGATTAGAAAGAAACCGAAAACAAATTGGACTGCAAGTGGGCTGGCATTTTGACGCACTGAACTTAATAAAGGAACTGCCAAAGAAAAAATCTTCACAGTTTCAAAAGCAAAAAAGCTTCACACAATCAGTAATTACACAATATCTGTAGGCTTAATGCAAATGGGCCGCACAAAAAGACTGCAAGGTCCATATCAGCCCAAATACCTGCTAAGTGACAAAACCCTAACTCTCAGCAAGCACCCACGATTTGCCTCAAAAAAAAAAAGCACCCACGATTGCCTCCTCAAAAAATAAAAAAGCAAGCACCCACGAGCCCCTGGCGGCTCTCGGCGGGGCAGCGACCGGGGCAGCATGGTGCAGAGAAAGCAGACGAGCGGCGCGGCGCGTTGTCGCGGGCGTCTTGGTGTCTCCGGCGGCCCCGGGGGCTCGGGGGCCGCGCAGAGTCTTCGTGCTGCCACCGGGCGGGACGCGGCAAGTGCAAGCCGGAGCATGCAAGCGGAAACTTCCTCCGTTGCGCGGCGGCGGGACGTGATCAGGTTTGGCCCCTCAAATCCGCGATCTCAACTCTGGAATTTTAATAAATGTCAACGTTCAGTTCACTAGTTTCACTCGAGCTATATCTGTTCTGATCTGCAGATCCGTCATGCCATTCGCCGGCGTATCTGTCATCACCAACGGCAAGCTGTGCCTTTCCACCACGTCGGACGTCGACGCCGGCGCGGCCAGCGGCTACCACCTGCTTGTGGTGGAGGGCTACTCGCAAACAAAAGAGATGGTATCCAATGGCAAGCACATCATGTCTCGCCCATTCGTCGTAGGAGGCCATCGCTGGTGCATCAGTTACGCACCAAACGGTGACAGCTCCTACAGTGCTGACTGTGTTTCTCTCCATCTTGTCCTTCTTGATGACGATGTTGCCAAGGCTGTGAAGGTGCGGTTCGGGTTTAGTTTCATTGATCAGGTTGAGTGGCAAAATCCAATATACATTCGTGAAACTCAAACACACAGCTTCTCCAGCCATGATTCTATTAGGGGCTTCGATGATGCTGTGAGAAAAGATGCCCTTGAACAATCAAAGCATCTCAAGGGTGATAGTTTCACCATACGGTGTGGTGTCATGGTCTACAGGGATCTCGACACCGTGGATGCCGGTGCCACCGAGGTGCCGCTGCCTGACATACAGCAGCATTTGAACCGTCTCTTTGAAACTAAGGTAGGTGCTGATGTGACATTCAATGTCAGCGGCGAGACAATCGCTGCACACCGATGTGTGCTTGCAGCCCGGTCTCCAGTCTTCATGGCACAACTCTTTGGTCCCATGAAGGAGGGGGCTGCAACGTGTGACATACAGATCGAAGACATGGAAGCAAATGTGTTCAGGGCTATGCTTAGTTTCATCTACACAGACTCATTTCCCGAGATGGAGAATGATGAGGCAGAAGTTGAGGAAGAACAAGAAGTGGATGAAGTACTTTATGCAACATGGATGCAATGGATGCAAGACTTGCTTGTAGCTGCGGACAGATATGATATCCAACGGCTCAAGTTTTGCTGTGAAGAGGGGTTGTCTGAGTGCATGGATGTGAGCTCGGTGACGTCCACACTTGTGATAGCTGAGAAGCACCATTGCCAATATTTGAAGGAGGCATGCTTGAATTTCCTCAGAGTATCCCCCTCCAGTTTGCAAGAAGTAATGGCAACCAGTGACTGGGAGCATATTACAGTCACATATCCCTCTGTTTTGAACGAGCTCATTGCCATGCTTGCTTCGAAAGCGTAATTACATCTGATAATATGTATATATGAGGTTCCTGAGACTGATCGTAGTTTGTGTGTCTTACTTTTGATTCATGACATGTGGTTGATATAAATGATCTTGTAGGTATAAGCGTCTATATTGATCTGCATTGCCACACTGTGCAAGTTTCCTAGCAGTCGTTTTATACTTTTATTCTTGTAGATATAAATGATTTCCACTACACTTTAAGTGTGCATTCATTCATTTTGCTTCGTATGTAGTCCACCTAGTGAAATCTCTACAAAGACTTACATTTAGGAACAGAGGGAGTATATTGCTCGGCGCATTGTCTCATGTACAGCAATCCTTTGGTGATGTGTGCCATGCAAGGGGAGGTGTCGTGCCCTCTACTAAAAACATGACTTTCGGTCTGGTGTATTTTAAGAGCACAGATGACTGATGTCAATTTTGTCTGGAAAAACTTTTGAGATGGTGATGCTTTTTTTACATGTGCGGATCTATTTCTCATCTGGCCTTTATCACCGTAGCGATCTTTCTACGTTCTTGAACTAGGAATAACCATAGCGATCTTTCTATGTTCTTCAGAGATGGTGTATAATATGTATGCTTTGGTTGGCCATAACGATCATTCTTATATATGCCTTTAATACTGAACTTTCAGCTTTGCTGAGGTATATGTTAGGATCATACACTGACAGTTTCTCAAATTTGCCATGGTGTTACTCGCAAGCTCATGTGCTTATTTTGGTATTTCTGCTTGCAAATTGATAATAAAATGTTAACATTTGTAGTTGCCAAATTTTAAACTAGTTTCTCTTAGATCCAAAGCGATGTTGGAGAGGACAACACAACCAAAGTCCATCTCATCACTTGACCATCATGTCCTGATCAACTATAGTCGAAGAAGAAATTATTGTGGCTGTATTCATGGTTGTGTTGTCCTCATCATTGCAAGAGGTGTGTCACCGACCATGCTGCGTTCAATAGTCTAAAGTTCTCAACCTTTGTGATGGACAACTGATGCGGCTTTTCAAAGCCTTGGAGGTAACTCTAGCAGAGTCGTTATATTTACGACTGTCATAATGCATATAAAATGCGCTTCATATGCATTTGAAGGTTGGAGAGGCAACGCGCAAACTCTGAATCGACATAAAGTGTGCTCCATAAAATTTTCCCTGTGGGACCTGTTTATTAGTGGCTAGAAGATATCTTTGTTGCCCACCCAATAAGAATTTTTTCCGTGCTAGGAGTTCATTATGGATTTACAAAAATGGATTTTTAAAAAAGATAACAACTACGATTTGAACATTTTTAAAACTATGATTCTCTACTAATTGAACTACGGGCTCGCTCTTCTCTTGAAAGTGACCTCGTAGGCCAGGCTAGGGCTTTGGCTGCCGCAACTTCCACAATCACGCAGTAGACAAACGCATGTGCGTCCCGGATGCAGGATAAGGCCGACATGAGCGTGACTTCCATTTCTACACAGGCGGTCATTGAGATGCGGTCGAAGTAGGCGGGGGAGGCGAGGAGCGGCCGCCAGCTGATTAATCCTTATGCCCTTATGATGCGCTTTGTCCTCGACCCACTCGGAGTAGTCTCACGCCCTCTCACATAACTCTCTCTTGGTGAAGTCCTCTTCATCTCGCCAAGGAAAGATCCGCGGGGATGTCATTGTCATACTAACATGGTCGATGAGGGTGAGTGTGGCGGCGACAACAATGAGGAAATATAGGGTGAGTGTGGTGGCGCCGGCGATGGGAGCGATGAGGATTAATGTACCCGCAGATGGGTGCGCTCCAGCGGGAAACATGGGTGGATTTGCCACATACTGGTAGGGGAATGGATGTGAAACGCGATGTCGACCATTAATTGGCTTTCGATGGAAAAATGGTTGCGGCATTGGCAGGGGTGAAAGTGGTTGTTCTACAAGCGGCTGCACCATTAACTGGGTTGCGCGGAAAAGGAAGTGGTCGGGCTGAAACTTTTCTCCCATGCAAATGGTTCAAGATGGAGGTCACTCCATATTGACACCCTCACCTCTAAATATGAAGGCTCGTGGACTCGATTTAAAGCGCCCTTTATAAATTATGCAGGCAGAGGGGTGTATGACGATTCTACAATTGCGACATTTTCGATCAAAATCATCATAATAACGATTATTATGCTGATCGGTCTGATATGAAGACCAAACTAAAGTTGCTTTTTCTTATGCATGTATAGTCTTATATGTGAATTCTTTATCGAGATATCGAAGAACATTGAGATTTAATTGACAGACGGTGTATTATACATTGCTGTAATTTTAAAGTTCGGATGGTCTTGTTTCTTTTCCTTTGATATGGTGCAATATCTCCTCACAAAAGAAATAAAGTCATCAACTTATTAGTCCCGAAAGAAATGAGGAGAATGTTTTGAAAGCGGCATCGAAAGAGATCGCACAAACTACGTAAACGCCATGTAGAAGACGGAATTCTAAGTCTAAACCCCCGGAAAAGGGCGAGAAAGAAAGGCAGGCAGCATTAGGTTCCCAGCCACCTCCCCGTCAAAAAAAAAAAGGTTCCCAGCCACCTCGATGCAGCACCAAATACGGCGATGCGGCGCCGTCGCCTTCGCCGCGCTCCGGCGGGTCCGCCACTTCCCTCATCCCACCGTCGCCGCCGCTGCACCTCCTACGGCGGCGTGGAGATGCCCTTACACTCCCCGCCTCTACTCCACCGCCGGTGAGCACCTCCCGCGTCTCTCCTTGCTCCATGTACAGTATGATCTATCTCCGCTTCCTCCACCCCTTTAGCTTGGGGTTTGTGTGCGATAGTAGAACTGCGCCGTGTATCCGCTACGGATTTGCGTATTTTATGTTTAGGTTTCTCTTTTGACATTTCCGCAGCTTCAAGAGGAGAAAACCTTTCTGCCTCGAGGAGGGGGAAAGAAGTCCAATAGGTCCTCTCACTTCTTTTTTTATTTGAGTACTAATTTTGTTTTCCCCAATTTTGTACCAGACATGATCCAGCAGCTGCCTGCAAACCTGGTACAGATCATGGAGCAGAGAATGAAATTTATAGAGCAGAAGAGTGCATACCTCCAGGAGCAAATCAACCAGGTAATTTTGGATGGAAGACCTCCTCTTTATGCCTCTTGTACACTTATGTTTGTTCCTAAGGTGGTAAGGTGACAAAATAAGAATAGTGTTGTTCTTGATCCTTGTGTAAGAACCAACACAGCCATACTGTGACTATCTTTGGTTTGATTTGGGTGTGGTGTTAATGAAGTCAGCCGGCTGCCTCACCGGAGGAATACTTGAGGGCTAACAAGGAGTTCCACAAGCTGGAGGGCACAATTGAATTGATCAAAGAGCTGCGGTCAAAGCAGAAGGTGAAGATCCCATCACGTTGTATATTGTCTGGCTTACGGTATGAAGGGTTGTGAGCATCTCTTCATTGTTAGTAGGAAATTGAGGGATTAACATCCTTGGTGACAAACTCCGTTGAAGATAAAGACATGCGTGAGATGGCAGCTGAGGAGCTCCTTGAGGCTGTTGAGGAGGAGAAACGACTGCAGCATGAGTTGTTCAGAACTTTGCTTCCGAAAGATGAAGCTGATGAGAGGGACTGTATACTGGAGGTGCGAGCAGGTAAGACAGACCCTGTCCTCTCCATCAATATAATCTGTCCTTTTAGTTGCCTGCTTGTGTTTGCTCATTTTTATCAGGCCGGTAGTGGTTGATGATGATATACTGTTGCAGGAACTGGAGGAGAAGAAGCTTCTTTGTTTGCTATGGATATATTCAAAATGTCGGGTGGATGTTCATGTTTCGCCGGATCAAATGTCTGTTGTGACCCTTGGTCTGTCTTATTAACTAACTTGATTCTTCTACGTTATAGGTATGAGAAGTATTCCCAAAATAATGGGTGGAAATTTGATACTATTGACATAATGGAGTCTGCTGTAAGAGGATACAAGGTACAACTTGTTGGCAGTGTTCTGTTGTGAATGTGCACATGGTTAATCACTACAGCATAAATATCTCAATGATCTTGTACACACAGAATCTCTCTGAAGTTCTAACTTGCATTATTCTTCCACACTAGGAAGCTAGTGGGACCATTTCAGGCCCTGGGGTATACGGGAAACTTAAATTTGAGAGTGGTATTCATAGAGTTCAGGTATGATAAGTTGATAACAAGTCATTTTTCTGTTATCCATCACATTGGTCTCCTCATCCTTTCAGTTATTTGACTAAATCCTATTCATGGCAGCGAGTTCCAGTAACTGAGAAATCTGGACGTGTGCACACTAGTGCTGTATCAGTCGCTGTCCTTCCTCAAGCGGATGAGGTTGGAATTGGCTATCGCATTTCGATAGCCCCCTTTTCTTCTGAAATCCTTTCTTTTTTCATCTCTGCAATTTGTGGCATGACTAGTAGTTCTAAAAATCGCTTCTGCAAGAGCAGGTTGATGTCCAACTGCGTAATGAGGACTTGAGAATTGATACCTACAGATCAGGTGGCTCCGGAGGCCAGTCTGTCAATACGACTGATAGTGCTGTTAGGATAACTCATCTTCCAACTGGAACAGTGGTTGCAATACAAGATGAGAGATCACAGCATCAGGTTGGAACACACACACTAATCTGCTTTTGCCATAGATTTCACTTTTAAGTCAGAAAATGTATGCTTGTGTTGCTCAGTTCTACATTTCAACCTTGTGTTTGCTATGGCTTTGATGTGTGTCATCTTTTTTGGCTTGTCCATTCATAGCGTTGATGTCATTAGCATAGACTTAAAAAGATTGCTTCGCTCCCAGTGAACTGTCTGTACATCTCATGTCCATGATTATGCGTTGATAAATGAGTCTGCTCCATTAATTTTATATCTCTGTAGAACAAGGCTAAGGCTCTCAAAGTTCTCCGGGCAAGACTATATGAATTGGAAAGGCATAGGCTCCATACAGACCGGTCGAAGCTCCGATCAGAGCAGGTACCTCACTATTCGTTAGCTTCCCATATCAATGCAATTGATGGGATCACTAAGGCCTAACCTTGTTGTAGATTGGAAGTGGTGACAGGTCTGAGCGCATCAGAACATACAACTTCCCACAAGGGCGTGTCACCGACCACCGTGTCGGGGTCACGCACCACTCCATAGTGGACGTCATGGAGGGAGAGAGCCTGGACGTCTTCATCGAAGCGCTGCTGCTGCAAGAAGAGATGGATGCAATTGCTTCGTTTGCTTCGTGAGCCCTAAGTTTTGTGGATTTCTTCGTGGAGCGACAAACCACATCATAAACACACAGAACACTGAACCAACGAAGAGAGGAAACTTTAGGATTCACAGTGTATTGTTCGTCTGTTCTGAGTTGTCATGTTTCTCCGATCCTTGTTATCTCGGGTTATGGTCTTTCTTTCGTTGTTTTGTGACCAGCTGTTGGTTCTCATGTTTTCCCTGTGTATTTTCTTTCGGGTTAATCCCAGATTTTCTGCGGTTTCTTCTTTGGTAAAAGAACTGCCTGGATCTTTGGTCACCTTTGAATTGAATTGAAATGCTAAATTCTCTTAAAAAACTAAATTAATGTGGAAGCCGAGGGAGAGAGGATCCTGGGCAATGGGGGATTTGTTTGTTGTGCCTAGGCCATAGGGCCGCCCTACCTTGATTTTGTAAACAATAAAAATAAAAATACATTTACGCATACAACTTTTACCACTGTTTTTTTTAGGGATAATGCAACTTTATTCAATGAGTCTTGCTATGCGTACGACTCTTGCTTGTCCGATTTCATACAACATAGCAGATCAAGCCGTTCAACTCTTGCTTGTCCGATTTCATACGACATAGCAGATCAAGCCGTTCAACTCCTGATCCAAATGGCAGCACACCACTAGACTAGGCATTGATCCAAATGGCAGCACACCACTAGACTAGGCATCGTATAGAGTCGGACAGAATAAAATCATACGCACAGTAGTTCCGTTATTCAATGATATTAAGAGGTGCAGATACATGATCATGCAACTTTTACTACCGTAATCTTTTTCTTTGGCGAGATTTTTTTTGATTTATTCATCTTTAATCGTGACAGTATAACGAACACTTGAAATAATAAAAGTTGCAATCAGATCCGTAGACAACCTAGCTTTAATCTATCAGCTTCAAAGTTGTGGCCTCTGGTGTACACGTTGGACAATCTCCCGAACAATAGTACTACTGTAGCGGCCTCCCGCCTTATCCTGGACGTCTCTGATTACTTCCAAACAGTCAAAAAACTACAGGCCAAAGGCCAAAGCTTGTCGACACGACAGGGCTTCAAAAACTGTATGATCCGTGATGTTCTTGGACGTGATCGAGGACGAGCCCAGGAACTCGCCCTGATCAGTGCGGCCGCACAGCAACGTCTACCAGCTCTATAGTTTTGCTGGCAAAAATTCGCTTGAAAAAGGGTGAGGGCCACTCCAACAAAACAGACGAGAACCTTTCAAAAAAAAAAAAGAGAGAGAAATCCCCAGCGGTCTGCGAGCACGAGGGCTCCCTCCCCTCCCCTGCTCCCCGCATCATTCGCAGCCTCCGAAAACAAACACAAAACCCCAAACGCCCCCTTCCCAAACCCTAGCCCCTCGGGCGGCCGGACGGCCTCCTCGCTGGCCCGGCCAACACACCGCGGAGGTGCGGCGGCAGCCCGCCATTCGCCCGGCCCTTCCGTCGCCTAGCGCCTCTTCCGCGCCGTTCGCCCCGCAGGCAGCGCAAGCTGCAAAATCCGCGCTCTGCACTCCGGCGGACCTCCCACCCCCCTCCGGGCGCCAGGGTAAATTGGTTTCCAATCCCACGCCCGAGGCTGAAAATGTCTCCAGTTGCCATGGTTTTAGTTAGGGGCGGCGAGACGATTCTTGCGAGGCTTCTATGGAGATTTTGTTTAGTTACTCAGGGTAGAGGTGTTGAGCAGCACCAGTGAGGTGTTACCTGGTTGACTTTAGCTTGTAGTATCTTGACGATCCCGTACCATCCTGCCTCGCCTCATGAATTTGCACCTAGGAAGAGACGTTTTGTTTACTCGACCGCCGTTTGATTCATGCATTGATCTTAGTGTTGTTTAGGATGTCACGCCCCAGTTCGATTCGGTTTCGATGTAATTCCAGTTCTGTGCCAGTTGTGTGATTTGCATCGTACCTCTGTTTGCGAGAATGCCATGTGGAAACAGAGTCATGTTGAATAACAATTCTGCACATATCTCTGTTTTTCTCAACTTTTCGGAGATTGGCCCTTGATTGCCGTGTCTGACAAACATTTTATTATTGACATAGATGGAGGAAAAGGGACAATCTACATGGTTGATCACTAGTCATGCCTAAGTTGTTACAAACTAGACCGAAGTTTCATACTTATGCATATCCAGTGCCTGAAGGCCATGGCTCACTTGTATTTAGATTTTTGAATGCAACTATGGTCTTGTTCCATTAGATCACAAATTACACTTGAAAACGCGTGTAGAACAAGACACAGCTAACTGTAACATGCATGGCTATGATGTCCTCTCTGAATGGACCAAAACTTCCCCATCCCTGAATGGACCAAAACTTCCCCATCCATGTCTCAGCGAAAAGAAATAGATCTGACATTGTGATCTTCCGGCTATTTAGACTTGTTTTCATACTTTTAAGGATGATGACTCTGTGCTTGCAGATGACTAGGTGGGATGAAATTCTGACCCTTCCAGTTCAGAACCCAACCATATTAGAGTTTTCAGCAGCAGATATCACGTGGTCCATGGTGGAGGGCTGGAAGGACTCAATGGACAGGCTTGCGCTCATTCCGTTTTCTAGGGTGGGTGATTTTGTCAGAGGAGAATCAAACAGCAAAGCATGCCCGACAAGATTCCACGTTGAGGCACGGAGAAGGCGTTCTCCAACCATGACCTGCAAACCAAAAGTCGACGGGATACTTGAGTATATTCTGTAAGTAAATGGAAGCATGCCTAGTGTTTATGCATCACATGTTGTGTGAGTGGCTGGTTGTGTGCCTTGTCCTTGATGCTTTTGGCTTTAGCTGTTAACTAGTTGAGATGCTAGAATTTAAACAGAATATTTGAACACGGCGACACCATTCCATGCAGGTATTGGTGTTCTTTTGGTCCGGATGATTATAGAAAGGGTGGTGCTGTCCGGCCTAGCAGATCCTCTTGCGGAAAGAGGAAAACACCCGCTGGTCGCCCTAATACAAAGAGGGGGTGTGTTTGCCATTTTATTGTGAAGCGTTTGATCGCTGAACCATCATTGGCTCTTGTGATATATAACCACAACAAGCATGTAGATAAGAAAGGCACACCATGTCATGGTCCCATGGACAAGATGGCTGTAGGGACGAAGGCAATGTTTGCACCTTACATATCGGATGAATTACTCCTTGAAGTTATGTCTTTGCTCTATGTTGGTATTCCTGTTGAGACCATAATGCAGAGACATACTGAAATGGTTGAAAAGCAAGGAGGACCATCAAATCGTGATGATCTTCTTACTCACAGATATGTTAGGAGGCTGGAAAGAAAAATGCGGCGTTCTGTTTATGAACTTGATGATGACGATGCTGTTAGTATGAACAAATGGGTTGAAAATAACCAGGACTGTGTATTTTTCTATGAAGATTTTTCCGATAATGATACCTTTGTCTTGGGCATTCAGACAGATTGGCAGCTACAGCAGATGATTCAGTATGGCAACCGCAGTTTACTGGCTTCTGATTCAAAGTTTGGAACAAACAAGTTAAAGGTCTGCCAATGTCATCTGGTTCATTTTTTGTTTTTTCATAGTAGTTTAGTTTGCTTGATTTCATAGTAGTATCGTTCTTTGCCATTTTGCAGTATCCTGTACATAGCATCCTTGTTTTCGACCAGCAGAAAAATGCAATTCCTGTTGCTTGGATCATCACTCCCAATTTTACACATGGTGAGATATATAGATGGATGGGTGCTCTATATGATCGGGTTCGTACAAAAGACCCGACATGGCAGTTGGGTGGCTTCATTATTGATGATCCCTTGACCGATGTGCGCACTATGAGGTAACTAATGCTTCTGTGTCAGTGTACTGCTTCCTGGGTTTGTGGTGCCTGAGTATATTGCTTGCTGAACAGGGAAGTGTTTCAGTGCCCGGTGTTGATTTCCTTATGGCGTGTCCGTCACGCTTGGCATAAAAATTTGATGAGCAAGTGTTCAGATTTTGAGAGGCGTTCAATGATGGCTAAACGACTCGGGGAGGCAATATCCAGCATCTGCAGAGGAAATGGTGATACAGAATTATTTCAGGCCTTCCTGGAAGATTTTATTGATTGCTCTGGCTTTGTGGACTACTTCAAAGCTCTATGGTTTCCAAGACTTGGTTGGTCCATATACCTTGCTTTTCTGGCCATATTTGGATTTTACTTGTTACAGTTTTTTTTTGGTAAGTTCTCTTATTGAACCGTTTAATCTCAATATCTTCCAGGGGCATGGACAGCCGTCCTGAAGACCAACCCGTTGGCTACTGCTGAGGTAGCTTCAGCAATTGAGAGGTACCATCACCTGCTAAAACTTCGTCTGTTGAATGAGGCAGATGAAAGTATCTACCAGCGTGCAGACTGGTTGGTTCATAAGTTGGGTACGAAGGTTCACTCTTACTACTGGTTGGATGAATTTTCTGGGAAGGACAGTTTCTCTCGTTACTGGAGGAGTGAGTGGAAAACTGGCCCAAACCCATGGCAGCAGGGATTGCAAATTCCGGATTCTGATATTGTAATTGAAGGCAATTGTGCTAGAGTCGTCTGCCAGAAGCACAAGGAGAAGTCCCATGCCATACTGAACCCAGGTTCTGAGCTTGCATTGTGTGACTGTAGCTGGTCAAGGAAGGGAAACCTTTGCAAGCATGCAATGAAGTCTGCTAAGGTTTGCCGTGACAGGGGATTGGCGCCGCCATCTTTGGCGCTGCTTCGCTACTACCAGGCACTGGCAAATGTTGTTCATTGCCCACCCAGTGACTCTGTGATATGCGACCATGCAATCGCGGTGGCAGTTTCTGTGAGAACACAGTTAGATGCGTTGCTTGCCGCCACCAACGGCAGTTCTCCAGATACCTCACTTTTCAAGGGTCCACAATCAACCAGTGACACTGAACCCAGAGAACCTGATGTTCGGGAAGCCAACATTGAAACTGGCAGTGAAGTTCCCGCTGATGAGGATAGTGACGAGGACAGTCCTGCCTGCAAGAGAAGGAAGTCTAGAGGGGCATCTTATGAAGAGGAAACCGCTGCAGCGACGCAAGCCGCGCAGGTTTCTGAAGCTGAGAGCAGTCAAGCGACTTCTGTACGGGAACTTGATCACTGTCAGGATAGTCCTGCTTGCCAGGAAAGAGTGCGCAGAGAAACTGCTGACGGTGATGAAGGAACTGCAGTGTTGGAAATTTCTGATGACGAGGAAGAAACTGCAGTGGAGCAAATCACGCAACCTTCTGAAAGTGAGAACAGTCAAGCGACCTGTGTGCAGGAACTTGATCGTGCTCAGGATAGTCCCGCTCACCAGGAAAGAGTGGGCAGATAAACTTGGGACGGCGATGAAGGAACTGCGGCGGTGCGAGCTTGCGATGGCGACAAGGAAACTGCAGCCGTGCAAAGGAACTGATGGACTGAATGGTTCTTCTTCTGTCGAGGTTAGATTAGCTGATCGGATAGATGGGGACAGGACGCCTTAGGCCTCTCCTTTTCTCGTCTGAAACCACCAGTTTGTTTGTGCGGTTTGTATATTTTCAGCCACCGAAACTTCATGCTTACCGAATGAATGCATCTGGAAGTCAGGCAACACGCAACCAATGCTTATCCTTGTAGCGGATCAGGGAACCATGTGAATAAAGCGCAACAATCTCATGTACGTGGTTTACAATCACATGAGGTTGTTACTTTGCCCCCTGTATTACGACGATTTTCCCTAAATGATGGGCAAATCTGAATTGCTGCTGATGGAGGTTATGTTAATCTTCTCTTCCCGCAGCAAGCTCATACTGGGAGCGAGCAAGCTCGTGCCCCGATCGAAATAAGAAGCTGCTTCATGGCAAGAGTGCATTACATCTACAGTACTAAATTAAATTTCAGCTGATACGACTCGATAACTGAACTTTCGTGGGCGTGAAACCACGAGCCTCGCGCTGTTCTACCCGAGCTCCGCAACCCAAACACCAACAAAATCAGTACAATTCCCTCAACCAATACTTGCGGAGTACTCCCCCTGTACTGTGATGAATAGAATTGTATCGACAGAGACAATGGAGCAAATGATTCGAACAGTTCTTTATTGATGATGAATGAACACTTATATACAGTGGGAGCAGTCGTTTGTTGATGATGAATGAACACTTAATGGGAACAGTCGCCTCCGAGGGACGCGATGGTTCATAGAGATGCCTTTCCAGGAACTGCCGTGACGGTTGCTGGAAGTGTGCAACCACACATGTGAGAAGGAGTTGGAATTATCCCCTCGCAAGGGTTATCTATTTTTAACACGTACCATAATTTATG